GAACTGAAACTGGTGACAAATAGAAAAGACACACATCATGTTCAAAACATTTATAATAAATGGCAATAGGAAAGGAAAGAAAAATAACATTTTTCACTTTGTTTTGGCCTTAAAGGAATGAAAGTTCAGACGAAATAATATTAAGTTGACTTCGCTATTGATGACGTCATTCCTTTTAACTGAAAAAAGTATTTATGATTAAACTTTTCATAAACTTTTTATTATTCGGTTAATCGGAAACACTCGCCTTCCTGCATAGGCCGTGAGTTTCAACTTCGATCTCAATTCCGCAGATTGATTTTAAAGAGATTTTAGTATATATAAGTAAACGTAGTTAAGTTCGAAAAAATAACCTGAGGATTAATTATGTGTACGGTCATATCGGTTCGCCACATCGCTAGAAGAATAATGTTAAGTATTTCGTTTTAAGCACATATAAGAGATTTGCTAGTGTTTCAGCTATTCTATAGTCGAACACTGATGAAGTTCTGTTTGTACTTACTTTGTTAATTTGTTAATTTGTTACTTTTGTTGTTTTCTCATGACGTGGTTTTGAACAGAATGTGCCGTTAGCCCATTCAAAATCGACATGGTGCATCGCTTCCTAATACCTTCACCGCAATTTACAAAGCACGTCAGGGTCCGATATTCTTAACAGACTACGAAACATCAAAACTAGATTAAAAGTCATGTATAGTGAAATTGGCGTGAAAGGCGGAGGTAGCTGAGAGCGAGGTTTTCACCTACATGGCTTAAAGGTGCTGGTTTGGATCCGGTTCTGTAGCACCGTTGTCAAAAATGCGGGATTCGTACACAGCATGCGATTGTTCATTGATGTTCGAACGCGTGAGTGTCCATTCTTCTCCACTGTGGAGTGTCTGAACTGCGTCTAAATCTAAATATTATGAACTGAACGGAAGAGATCAGTTGTACAAAAGGAAATAGTTCGACTTTACAGTTTGGTGGCGCAGGTTCGATTTCAGCGGTAGTGTCTCCTGTGCACGCTAGTTGCTGGTTAACTCAAGGACAGAATTCGCTCCATTGTGCTTCGGGTAGCAGGTCGTTTATCTAAGGTGGATGATAGCTCTGCGTTTTGCGGTGATCATGTCAGTACTTGCGAGACTCGACCATTTTGCCTGTCTTACTATCGTTCTCTATGAGTGTAGTTCTTTTCCAATCCGATCCGTCCGACAACTGATTAAATCATTGTAAGATTTCACGCATGAAAATGTGTTTTTCAGGTAGTACTTACAACCTACTTCATTAAAATGGGTAGTAAAGTTTCACATCTCGCAGTGGACTGTTTTTATTACCAGCAGTATTACTATATTATTACATTATTACGGTTTTCGGTGGGTCCTTACCTTTAAAGCAAAAGCTTTACTAATAGTTTTTAGATAAACTGATCGCCTGTGGTTTTTTAATGTCTGATCAGACCCTGTTTGAAGATGATCACTTTCATCAGAAGCCTTTCTTCTCACCTTACTTCAAATGTTTTTTTGACACTGATACTTAAAAGAAACCCAGATTTAGAGTCTGTACTATATTAATCAATAAATCAGTTTAATTAATACATTTTTTAGCAGCCCCACAGTTCAGTCTGTTTTGTTATGTTATGAACTGGGAGACAAAGCACAAAATGTTTACTTAGCACTGAAGTGATAGAAGGAACTTAAATTTCGGATCAAACATCACCCGCCTTTTACCATACATCGGGCTGTGTTGTAGTAGATTGACTTTCTACGGTATCTTGCTTCCTTTTGACAGCATTTTCTTGTCGCCATGTTATGTGTATTATGTGTTATATTTAGATATGTATTTATGTTTTAAACACAAAGGGAGTTTTTATACGGAAGTTTATTTCAAAACTAGACATGTCCTCTATGGGATTTCATCTCATTTAAAGTTTATTATATACAGGTTCTCCAGCGTTTCCGATTATGCTCGATCTTTAGGGAGCGACGTATAGATATGATCTTATAGTATCCATCGGTGCATTTAGGTACAAACTCCACTATGGATGTTTTAGCCTCGATAGTGGAAGTTGCGTCACAAGTTCCAGTGCGAAGTAAATTACGTACAGACATCTTTATTAATGATTTGATTTGGTCTTATTACAGAAGACGCTTCATTTTATATTCCGGTTTAAAAAGTTTCGGGTCCGGTGTATTCTTTTCATGTCATCCCATAATATGCCGTGTTTTTTTTTCTACTGCATGTTGCTCAGTTGCCGATCCGAAAAACTTGAAGACGTTTATATGGCATAAAAGTCCGGTTTATTTATTCACAACGCAAAAGTCAGTCGAACGATTGACCGCTACCGACGATTCGTCCTGTTTTCATGGGCCTTATGCATAATATAAGTATTCGTCTTAGGACATGGTTTCTCTGGTTTGCAGTTGTTACGATATTTGGAGTTAAAACGCATGTTTATATATAGATATTTTACCGTCAAAAGTGGTAATCCATCCATACCTTATGAACCAGTCTCAGATCTTATTTGCGGTTCTGTCCATGCCGGTAATGTCACGCATTCAGTAGATTATTACAAAGGCTACGACCAGACCCACATGAAAATATTACGTGCCTTTGTCATTGTACTCTGAATACGAACAGAGCTTAGTTTGAAACGTGGATGGTTCTAATTAAAGAACATTTTGTGCGTTATCTTCCGGTTTGTGACTTATTAAAGCATTATATCATCATTATATCATATATTATGGGTAAATTTAATAAATAAAGCATTTCTGAGTAAATTCAAAATTGTTTTTTAAGAGGCGGCAGTTTCAGTGAACTTAACGAATAAAGTTTATACACTAATAAACTTAACATGACTTAAATGTGACCTTTTTGAGTACACTCGAATGCGCTGAACATGGCGCTGATATTTTCAGAACGAGCAGAACCAGACTCCATTTTATCGTTTGGTATAAAAGATGGAATTCGGCTTGGCCTTCCAATGCCGCCACCATCACCATTCGCAGAATTACATGTCATGAACTAGTTATTTTTATCCACTGAATACTAGTTCGTAGAAGTAGTAGGCATAAACTAAGTGCATAATTTACCAAACGTTATATTTTTTTTAAATTTTATTTAGACTTAATCCATATAGCTAAATAAACTAGTGTTGTAAGCACTGTATTTGATTTTTTCCGAATTATAAATTATTGGGTCTTTCAAATTATATTTAAAAATTTGGTTTTTCGCACTTGACAGAGTGGTACAGGATTTTTAGCGTTGCTACGTCTTCATTACAACAATTATTGAAATTTTTTATCGCCCTGATGATGGCTTCCGTTTTTCTGGGAGCCAAAAATCGGATTATAGTTTGTAAATCACTCACGCCCAAAATCTATCCTTCATTAATGAGGTGAATAGGATCTAACACGTTGGTGCGTATTAAAATGAATTTCAGAAAAATTAATTGTTGTCTTTAAATTTAAAAAGATAATATTCGTTGTCTACGGAAGTTTTGTGCTCAACAGCTACAGATTAACCAGGTTTTATTTTAGTTGTGATGATGATGTGCCGTATTTATGAGTGATCATTTATTCGAATCCGCGATCACTTTTCTTATACTGCTTATTTGATTTTTTGAAATCCATCACCTTCATTTAAGGTCGTAACAGTTTTTAAGCAAGGTCGACAGAATGAAGCCCATCAACTCAAATCAAATGGTAAAGATACCAAAAGATGGTAAGGACATATCTTCGTTTATCTATGAATCTTTTCGTTGCATTTTTAATAATTTATTATCTGAATCAGAGATGGGTAAGTGTAAATCTTTCAAATCGATACTCCCCTCTACTCTTAAATGCCTAAGGGGTGACGTTCTGACAATGGCTTTCAGGTGTTTGTTACTGTTTGACGGTGTGCTCAAAGTTTGTCTAAAACGTCTGCTTCGAGCACTGATAGTACGGGGTTTGATTCTGCTCTGTTGCAGTCTTTGTCTTATTCATGAATTTACCACAAACTGCTTCAAACCGGGGTTGCTCAGTCGGTTGACCGTCGAACTCAGAATCGGCAGGTCCAAAGTTCAAGTCCCCGGTCGGGGTTACTCGCCTTTCTTCCTTTCGAGGTTGATAAATGATTGCCACTCGCTGGGAAGGAAACAAGGGGACCAGACTACGCTTGCCATGAGCTGTAGATTCTACATTAAAAAATGAAGCACTTCTAGCTGATGACATGGAAGCGAAGATCAGCACCACTTCATTAATACAAGGGCACCAAAACTGTTCAGTCATGAAAGTGAAGGAAGACTGACATTCCACCGTTGACCAGCTTTCCTTTTCCTCCTTTTTTTTCTGTTTGACAGAAGTTTTTATTGACCGGAGTTACTCAGTCGGTAATGTGTCAGACTCAAGACTGAAAGATCCCAGGTTCGTGTCCAGATCGTTGGGTTATTTGCCTTTCTTTCTTCCAAGTTTGATAAATGACTACCACTGAATGTTGCAAGAAACATGACATCGACTATGCATGATGTCACTGTAAACTCTGTCTTTGCAACAAAGCAATTCTGGTTGGTGGCATGGAGATGGAGATCAACGTCCGACCATTAACTGGCGTGAGAAACAACCCGACATTTCAGCAGTTACAAAATTTTCTTCCTTTGCAGTACCTGCTGTTGTCACATGCCTAAATGGCCCTGACCTGACCATCGCTTTTACAGTATCTGTTCTCTTTGATACAGCCTCTGTCATCGCCGGGAATACTTCAAGCGCAGGTACTCCTGTGTGGTTTTATCGGGTTTTCATCTCTGAAGAAGTTAATGGAATGTAATAGCCATTTTTAATCCAAGAAACAACCTAAGATCGTTGTTTAATAACTCATATATGAGAAACAATTTGGACACAGCTGAAAAATATCTGTAGTACCTAGCTATTGTATTGTAACGGCGGTATTCACTGCACTTCTATCAATTTATTTTTTAGTCGAGCTAAAGCTTCAGGGTCGGCGTGTAATAGTAAAAGGGCCAAGAGGCACGTTGCACAAAGATTTTCACCATGTGCACATGGACATCGAGAAGCTGAACCCACGCACTGTGCGAGTTCGCAAATGGTTCGGCACACGCAAGGAGGTAGCTTGCGTTCGCACGCTTTGCAGTCATATTGAGAATATGGTCAAAGGTGTCAGACAGGTAGATGCATGGTTGTGTATTTGAATGTTCTTTCTCATACCGGTACTTCGCGTTATTACTGCATACTCTGCAGTGGTAATGCGTACTACATATACTAATGGTATTTTTCGATTTACCGTACACGCTGTATAAGTTAACAAAATGTTCTATAATTATACTCAGCAATACTGCTTGTTCTCTCCTATGAAAATAGTTTGGACGACAGTTAAACGAAGTCTTCATCCTAGCTGGTAAACAGATTATTTGTTTTCTGGTTGGCCCTGTTACATTATTTGCATTATTAGTGCAGATCGTACAGGGCTGTTACTAAATGCGATATGTAATGTCATTTTACGATGTATATTAGTAATTCGGAGTACTGGTATCAGACTATGTACATCGCTACGCGTATAGGCCTCTATCGCGTATCTGTCGTAGCAGATGTAGTGCGCATACCGCAGGTACTTTTATGTTGCTTAAAAGCTCAGTCGTATCTTACAAAGTATACAGACAGCATATAGCGTTGTTACGAGAATACGTACGCTGTGGTACACTCTCAGTCTGTATCGCACAATACCTGTAGTATATATAGTACAAATATAGAACATTTACCATCACTATTTGGACTGCATACAGCCAATATACGTTGTACTCTGATAGCACGAAACATTGTTCTCTACCAAGTACATGAATAATATACATGTGTTGTTGCAGTCAGAAGAGCTACGTTGCTATGCACCATTTATGTAATCTACTATATTTATAGTACATACGATATCTTTCGAACATATATGGTATCTTTTATTACCGTATTAAGCAAGCAGTACCATTATAGTAGAACACTAATAACGTTGAGAAAATAGCACCAGTGTTGTAATATATGCACTTAATCGGTTCATTTTTCTTATGCTGCATATATGCTTTTAGAGATAATATCATGGTCCTGAAACTCGTGCATCTTCTGATTCAGTGATTAGCACGGTACTGGAAAAATTATCTTTATAAAGTACTGATCGTCATCATGGCACATTCTCATATTATGGCAGATACTGGTTCAGTGGAAACGTCTGATCAGTATTAAATAATTTTATTGTTTCTTGCTGCTAACCTTGGAATGAGTATATACATTAGTTTTCAGTCATTCATGGGATAGCATCGGTCTGAATTTCAGAAGTTATGTATTGATGATCTGCTTGTTCTTCGAATCATTGTGTAGTAGTAACAGAACTAGAATTCAGAGTTTATTAAATTATTGGAGTCGATCAGAATTGAACCACTGTCTTTGATTTGTGATGATTTACCCAGAAGTCGCACATTCAATTTCGCGGTAATCAGTCCTTCTGTCTTCCCAACTCAAAAATCTATTAGCTTCACATGCGGTCAGTATGGAAGGATCTATAACTAATGACTGTGAGTCATAGGTTAGTGAATCTTGTCAAGCTTTTGGGGCTTTGCTCAGCAGGTCGAAATTGTGTTGCACATGTTCTGTTCTAGCCAGTTTGCTTAAATTTAATGCAAATTGTTTCAGGGTTTCCGATATAAAATGCGTTCGGTTTATGCCCATTTCCCGATCAATGTAACTTTACACGAGAACGGAACTGTAGTGGAGGTAAATGTTTTGTTAGTAATCTGTTTTACTGTTTACTTCATATTTATTGTTTAGATTAGAAATTTTCTCGGAGAGAAGGTTATTCGTCGTGTTATCCTCCCAGAAGGAGTTAGTGCCACTCTGTCGTCGCAGTTGAAGGATGAATTGATCCTTGAAGGAAATGACATATGCCTTGTCTCCCAAGCTGGTGAGTCCTTGTCGAAGATCGCTCACTTTTTAATACATGAGGTAGCAAGATCAAATAGCGTGTGCAGAAAAAAAATATATATACGGTTTGTTAAGCGAAATGTAATAGAGGTACTCTGCTTTATTGATCCAGCAGCGGCTACGCAGCAACTTGATCATTGTCTACTTTTCCGTGAATAAGGTCTGAGATATGGAGACTAATTATTGACTAGAGGTGTATCGCTGTGATAAATCTGTCTTATGAAGTGTCTGTCGTAAAAGGTTTGCTTTTTCTACAAGATAACCAGCGAAGAAGTAACTTAATCTACATGTACATAATAATGCTTGATTGTATGATTCAGGTGAAATAAAACAGATGTGAAAGGAATATCATGAATATACATTCTATGAAATTATATTCATTAAAATATATATGCACATGTCTAATGGGCGTAAAAGCATGTGCTGTTTTTTATCACAGTACTACTTAAGTCTCAGCACGGCGTTAACTTAAAGATACAGACAACAGTATAGAGGATTACGGTAGACTTAGTTGGAATCGAGTAAATCTTGGACGAAATCAGAGAACGGAGATTAGTTTCATAATGTAGATTGAGGTTTAGATAGTGATGCGGTAAAATCTGCACATTATCAGTATGGACTAAATTGCGATTTAATTACAGTCTGAACAAAAATGTGTATAATGGAATATATGTTGACATTTAGTGTTTCTGAGATTTTTTCTAATCCTTCTTTTCGTCATACCCTTTGAG